GTACATATATAATAAACATATGTTTAAACGTACATATACAAACTAATATAACATTATATTAATATATATATATATATATGTATTTATATATATATGTATATATATATATATATATACCTACAAACAAACATACAAACATACATACATACACAAACACACATGTTTTTGGGTACACATATAAATTTGTACAATTATGTATACAAATATACACATATATATGTTTATATATATAAATTTAAATGTGTATATATATACATGCATGTTGGTGTGAGTGAGTGATCCCATTATTTATCGAGCGCATTGCAGAAATGGTTTTAACGTAAATAAGGTGAACGGCTTTATTTACTACATAGTAGTGATTGAGAGAGAGAGAAGTACTCCCAGTTCAAATAAATATTTACCAATGGTAATATTCTGCGTTTTTTTCAAATGTTTATTGTTTGGTTTTGTTTTGTAAAAAGTCAAGCACACTTTCATTGGTATAATATCTCTCCAATATCCTAACTACTAATTAATACTTCATAGAGTAGCGCTCGGACCATTATTTATACGTTTTAACGCAAAAAAGATAAGAAAGATAAAAACTGTAATCTTGATCGACTCAAAACACAATGTAACGGTGAACCTAGTTTTATTTCCTTGATAGTTGAATAAAAGTCTACCTTAGGAGAATGAACTTCTTGAATGAACTAAACCACGTATTTATAAGGATTCCCTTGAGAATCCTGCCGCCAATCAAATCGTGTATCTACTCAATTTCGAGCCTACAAGTCCATTCAACATATATCGTCATCTGCCAACCTCCAGCTCATATTACCCCGCACTTCTGTTCGCAAAGCACCAATCATACACCAACCTCCTCTTCTTTCGAGCCTGCGCGGCCGTTCGCCAACAAACCGCACAATACAACTTAGAATTTTTCAAACTTATTAGTTTTCACACTTATAAGTTATCGCCCACACTTAGAAGTTCTCGCACTCTTATTAACGCCCAGGAACATTACCGAACAGTTCGGTACTTACAACACCAACATTATTTTAAATCGGAGGTAAACATGGTTGACATTCATCCACGGCCCCACGCACACGAAAGTTCAAGAGGTTTGTTTTGTTTTGGTGTTAAAAAAAAAAGCAAAATACAAAAAAAGTCCTACATACATACATACTATTTACAACAAGAGGGAGAGAGAAGAAAAGTAAATAAAAAACACTGCGTGGCTGCGTGATTCTTATCATATCACATATGAGTCATCACTTTTTGCATCTTTTGCAGAAATAAATGAAAACTCTCAGAGAATGTCACAAGAATGTCAAAATAAAATAAAATAAATAGTAGCTTTGTGTATTATGCACATATGTACGAATATATATGTGCGGAATAGCGACTTCAATAAGTCTGCATAAACACAATATATACATATTCTCCTGTGTGTGGTATATGCCAGATATACTGTGGTATATACTTAGCACTGGGACTGTTGCGATTGTAACCTAGTCGCAGCAAGAACCCCCATATCCAGTATGTTGATTGCCAAATATTTGTTAGTGGGTCTTTCGCTTGCTAGCTTTCCGTCTACTATTGGCGTACACGTAACCGATCGCACAATACAACGAACATTGGAACGAAGAGATGGCGAGGTAGACTGTGTGTATCACGACAGCGTCACGAACACGGACTATGACTTCTCTATACTACATCGGAAGACTAGGTATGTTGCCTAGAATTTGGTACTCTGATTTATACTAATTTTTGCATATTATCACAACGTTGATATAAGTGGCAATGTATTTATATTAATTAAAAACACCTATAGATTAAAGAAATGTTTGTTTTTACATGTCAGTGTCTGAAAGCTCGTCAATAGTTAAGCGTATGTGTCAGTGTAAAATTGCACGATGGCGAAACACGAAAGGATAACCACAGAACTCCTATTTCGCGTACACAGGTAACATCCACAATTTATATATATATATATATATATACATATATACATATATATATATACATATATATATATACACATACATACATACATACTATACATGCATACATACATACATACATACATA